GCCAGTGAGCAATGGACATTCAAAATAATAATAATAATAAATAAAAACTGCATTAATGCGCGATAAAATAATTGTCAGTGTTTATGACACAGACCTGCACATTATTGTCCACAGTACAGGAAAATTTAGTGCCCATAGTGCTCAGTTGCTGAGAGAACGGGTTCCTTGGTTGACCTAAAAAAAAAAAAAAAACCCCTTTCTACGTCATCACACAAACATTCAGTATAATCATTTGTTTGTCATTGTGAAGTGTTTGGTGAATACTTACCCATATTTCAAAGTATATGATGCTGCTTAACCTCCTTCAATCACCCGAGGCCCCTGCAGTGAGAGAAAGGCAGTGAGGATACAGAAGTAAACCATTATACAGAGTCCTACCTTAACTGCTTTATATGACTGACTTTGTTTTTGAATATACAGCTGAAGAGCAAATATTACTTCATCTCATGCAGGAACACTTTGTTACAGTTGCTGTACAGCTCACTAACCGACAAGGTCAATGACACTTGAACTCCATACAGACAAAACCTCAAACACAATCCCAAATTTCTAACAGATGTGGTGTTAAAGTTCTGCCTCTCTGAGGCAGCCACTAGGTCACAAGGTTAGTTCTGGCATCACACTCCATAGAGCTAAAAACTCATGGCCCATACTAGGATGATCAAAATGACAGATTGGGGCCAAGGTGAATGGATCACAGTGCAGATAAACAGACATGTACACACACATCCAGACAGAATGCTGATCCAGCACTATAAATATGTTGTACAGAAGCGCTCCGATCATCCACAGGAGCAGGAATACGCACACACTCAGTGAATTTAGGGCACCATTAATACAGGCTGTTCAGTAACATGGCTGCGATACAATACTGGAGAATGAATCACTGGCATGAGTGCAATACTTGTGTGAAGTATAAAGGATCACAGCAGATTTGGGGAAGAAAACACCAAATAAATGAACTTTAAAGCACCGTTTCATTACCCCGAGTATTTCCCACCCAGTCCACATAGGGAGGTTTATAAAGAGTGGAGGCAGCA